TTTATTTGATCTTGTTGACAAAAATTTATTAACTGTCTTCAATTTTCCCTTTGAAACTCATATATATTAATATACTGTTGGGACAWGAATATTGATTATTAATAAATGTTAATATACTTGTTATATATATTATATATATACTGCATCATACAATGTATATATATATATATTGAAGAAAAACTACGAAATGGATGTATCCTGTTATCCTTCGTTAACTTTCCAATATCTACCTTGCGTTTTGCGGCCCCACAGATTTCATCTCGTAACTCGAAGACGCGGTAATAGCGTCGTCGGGGATCCTTCCCTCTTCCATGCCAAGAGGTAACATACACTGTCCTAAAACGATCGCCCATTATACGTCTCTTTACTGTATTTATTGTTTTTACTCTTATTGTCAAAGAAATGTATTTTTCATTTTTCATATTATATTTCTTTCTTTCTTTATCTTTTACTATCTTTCTTTATATTATATTTTTTGACGATATGAATAACGTAATACACTCTTACATATAATATTCAATTTTATATTATTATTATTATTATTATTGTTATTATAGAAATTATTTGAATACGTACCGGGAATACCTTTGACAGGTTCGTTCACGCATAAAACCAATACAGTAAGGACTCCTATGAAAATAACTACTGCCTCCATGATATGTGATTTGATATTCTCTCTCTCTCTACTGTAGCATTGTCTCGTAATATTTTATAGCGCATGATAAGTAGACGTGAAGAGTTATCATTGTCATTATTCTGAAAAAGAAAGAAACAAAAAAAAAAAAAAAACAAACCTGAAGGAAGATGTTCTCGTATTGCGGATGAACAATTTTCCCCCTTTTTTTAAGGGGATAAGAAAAAAAATGACGGAAGAAAATAGAAAAATAAGTAAAGGATGAGGAAGGGAAGGGAAAAAGAAAGAAAGAAAAATAAAACGATGAAAACGGATTGTTGTCATTTTTTATGAGAAATGATATCATCTGATAGAAGTATTATGTTATACGTAAGTACACTCTCTCTTTTTGTTTCAAGAAAAGAGGGGAAAAAGTTTGAAGAAAATGAAAAAAAGAAAAGAAAAGAAAAGAATGGAAAGGAAAGAAATACAAAAAAAAAAAAAGAAAAAAAGCAGAGGGTTGAAAGTTCTTACCAAAAGTGGTAAGTTCCGGGTATCGGGGTCAAAAATTGTTTCATCCTGGTATATGCATAAAAATCTTGGCCCTCATTGTACGCCTACGGCGTGGGAACTTTAACGAGATTTTCTGTAAAAAAGAAACCCTTGCCCTCAGTTCCTTTCGGAAGCTCTATCATTAAGCGACCCTTTGCTATTCGAACAGAAACTGCTTGCCCTGAAGGTTCTCTCTTTGCTTGTGATTGTAACGCGTTGTCAACCCTAACGTTTTATCTACACATATAGTTTCATTCAACATCGAATCATACGCGCTTTTAATGATCTTACATTTATTATATTTTTCTTTTACATAATATTATTTTGTTTTGTTCTTTTCTTTCCCCCTCCCCCACCCCCTCCACACGAAATATTCATCGAATTTTAATCGAAAGATACGTAAAATTTAGAAACGAGATTTTTAACGATAAAATTAATAAATTGAAGATAATATCGCGTTTCGTTTGATAATTTAATTAAATTAAGATTATTATTTTTTTGTTTTTCTTTTTCTTCAAATCTTCTCGTTATTGCATCTTGAGAACAACAACTGTTTTTTTTTTTTGACTTATACCGGTGAGGGTAAAGCAAAGAGAGAGCCCTCTTTTTTTTTTTTTACGTTTGCGCACCGCAGCCGCAAATATGAAGTAGTGTGCATGTAGTATTATACTTATGCATTACCCGCTTACGTAATGCACAAAAGTAGAGTATACTCGTTTCTTCGTGGCAGCCGTGTGCAAGTGAAGTAAGCCAGTTATATACAGACGGTCGCACAATCGTTTACAATGTTTCGCAAGAGGTTCAAAGATTTTAACTCGTATTTGTAAAAGAATTATGGTAATTTGATAATTTTACTTGTTTCTTTTTTTTTTTTTTTTTTTTTATATATCTATAGAGTAAAATTAAAAAAAAAAGAAAAAAAAGAATCAAAAAGTATAATATCACAACCATATAAAAATCGAAATTGCGAACGAAATTCGTTGACTGAAAAAAAAAAATCTCTCCTCCTCGAGAAAAAAAAAAAAAATAAAAGAAAAAGTAAGAAGCAAAGGATGCTTACAACGATATTAAATAATATTATCTCGCATAACCATCTCGCAGTATTCGCGCACGTAATCTACTCTTTTGCCCTCGCGAATTTTTTTTTTTTTCTCAACCTTCCGTACCACCACCGTTACACGGTGCAAACGAAACCCCCAGAGACGCGATTTTAATTAAAATGGGAGTACGTTATGAGCATAATTTCTGTCGATTGCAAGCACAGCGGGTACGATCCAACGAGCTTGCCGAAGTGAAATGCAACGAAGCATGAAAGGGAGTCGAACCTCAACAGTCAAACAAAATGTGCAAAGGATGAAGAGAAAGATTTGTAAGCTTTCTATTCTATAAAACAACAAGATTAGACAATGGATTTCTGGTTTTCAAGTATTAGAAAGTTCTCTTACTATGAAATTAAATATATATATATATATGTATATGAACAGATACTTTTTTTATATTTAAATAAAATATAAAGATTTTTTTAATAACCATTCTCTCGTATATATAATTTCCTAGAAAAAGTAAATTGTATTTCATGTGAAAAATAAATAATAATCACGTTTGGTCTCGGTTAATAGATTTTTGTTTTTTAATCGGAATTATTGTTGAATTTACGAGTCGACAATATTTCATATCGGTGAATAAAATCTTTTGGAGATCGCGATGCGATGTGTAGGGAGTGGAGGAGAGGGACGGGGAGTGGGGGAGGGGGGAAATTAAAATTATCGAAATATGAAAACAACAAAAGTACGTATATGCTTGGGTATATAAATTTGAATATTGTATATTAATAAAAATAAATTTTACACGTTCGAGGGATAATATATATTTTTGTTATTTATTTCAAACAAAATGAGATGGGGGTAAGAGGAGTATAATCATAATATTATACACATATACGTATCGTGTAATTTAAAAGTAATATAGATTGTCAAGGAATTATTTTGAGAAGAAAAGAAAAGAAAAGAAAAGTAAAGGAAAAGAAAAAGATTGTCCAACTATTCGTAAGAATGAAAAGATTCTGAAAAGTAAGGAAAAAAATGTGATAGAAAAACGAACACACTATTTACTGTAGGAGGAGGGGGAGGAGGAGTCGAGTGGATAATCATATAGCTTTTCCACGGTTTCCCTTTTGACCCATCAAGAAAAGGAGGGGCGAACAGTACAAGCAGACATAATTGAAGGTAAACGTAAAGGCTGCACAGAAAGCACGCGCGCGTACACAGAGACGAAAATTCACTTGAATAAGAGGCTACGCGTCATTCTGATTTATGGATCAAACGCTTTTCTAATTAATTATGTACGTTCATTTCTCGAGACGAATGATATACCTAAGTATGTATTCAGAGAAAATAACATTCGTTATACGGACGGTTATAATTTCCCTAGGATGCTACTAGTTATATATGTTATATATATATATATATACGTATTATAAATTTCGTAATTGTACAATTCTTGATTTTACCCGAAGGTAAAGTTAAACGATATGAAGAAGTAATCGACTTAATTTCACGAATAAAGACTAATTTCTATCCTTAATCTAAACAGCTTTTTTTTTTCTGCCATTCTCAATTATGCAATCTTATTTTACTTTTTCTTTTTTTTTTTTTTTTCATGATGATAAATTAAAATTGTTACTTACTCTCACATACAAGTTTTCAAAGTTTCCCTAATCGTTTTCTTTGACAAAAATAGAAGAAAAAAACATCTTTCATTGTATTCGTTCGCGTCTTAACCGATCGTTAATTTAACTTTACGATTTTTGTTCCCCCTAGGTATAACACAGTTTTCTTGTTATTTTTTTTTTTTATACTTTGTAATAACTTTTAATTTGTTTTTTTTTTTTTATTTTCTGTAAGTAAACACGACAATAATAATAATAATAATAGTTGTCGTCTTTAATTCTATGTGATTTATATTGTAAAAAAAAAAGAAAGTATTTATTTTCACGAAGAAAATGACGCTTTTATTTTCCCTTTTTTTTTCCTTTTCCTCTACGCAAAAATTAATAATAAAAATATAAAATATTAAACGCGTCGGCGTTCTCTCTGCGTTACCTATTAAACTTAATTTAACGATATTATTAAACATTATATTAACGTTTTGATAAACGATTACGAGGTAAAAATTGAAATATAAATTTCTCGGTCTCTGGTCTGAATTACCGCCAAAGCTTAATGGAATTTACCTTGATGATAAATAATTATTAATCAATTCATTTTTTTTTCTTTCTTTTATATTTTTTTTCTCTTTTCTTTTCAAAAAACAACGTCACAAAATAATAATGAGACTTTCGATGTAACAAAAGTCAAACATTATTTACGCGAGATGATGTTTTTTTATCATTATTATATAGCGAACGGATAATAAAATCGGTTGGGAATAAAAAGAGAATATACCAATGTAAGAAGAAGAAGAAGATGAAGATGAAGAAGAAGAAGAAGGAGGAGAGAATCAGTGGTGGTATAGTCTGTTTACAAAGGTAGCCACGATAGCTTGAAAGGAACTTCTTCAGCATCCTTCTTTGTTTATTTTATTTTCATCCTTCTCTCTCTCATACTCACACATACACACACACACACTCTCTCTCTCTCTCTCTTTCTATCTCATCTTTCTTGGTACGGTATATGTATACTTTCCCATTTTCTTTGGCCCTTGTCGAGATTCTTTAGCGTAATTACCCATGAGATCTCTTTTACTCCGAACTCCTACAATTTTTCTCATTCTCTCTTTCTTTCCTTTTTTTTTTCTTCTATATTCGTTGAAATGGAGGATGACGATAAAATCGATCTTTTAATGTCTCTCTCTCTCTCTCTCTCTATATATATATATATATATAGGTATATATTTTATGAATAAATATGATGAATATAATAAATATAAAAGTGAGTTAAAAAGAGTGGGTTGAATAAGATGGTTGGAAATATCGGTGAGGTGGTGAGGGGGTGGTTGTTGGGATAGAAGGAAAAAAACAGGACAACAAAAAGAAAAAATGAGAGAGAAATAGAGAAAGTCAGTCACAAAGAGACATAAAATCAGTAAAAAAAAGGTATGCTAGAATAAGGTATGTATATGTACGTCTTGGTTCGTTCCTACTCGGACGTTAATTACGTCTGTCCATGGAGAATGGAGTTCTGCCCGAGCGAAATACGTAGGGGCCAGCAAGCAGGAGCACGGTGGTCGGCGCGAGTCGCGTTTGCTCTGCGCAACAAGTAAAGAACGATCAATACGCGATACCGAAAGGAGAGAGAGAGAGAGAGAGAGAGAGAGAATGAGTGAGAGAGAGAATGAGTGAGAGAGAATGAGAGAGAGAAAGGTGGTTCAGCCCGGCAAGCAAGCAAGGAAGCAAGGAACCAACGCGATTCGCGATTCGCGATTCGATCGACACCCCCGTTAATAGAATTCTCGCATAATTACCATGCCCTTTCGATGTTTTAACCAACGAATCGGTCAAAATTAATATTACCACCACCATTTCTCCTTCCTTCAACGATAATTGAAATGATACGAGAAACCGAATCGTTGTTATATATATGGATTTGTCGTG